GCAAGAACACTTAATAAAGCTGGATTTACATGTTCCAGGTGCACTGGATAGGTGTAAATAGGCTTAACCACTTCCAGTCCGGACACTTTCACCCCCTTCCTGTCCAGGGCAATTTTCAGCTTTTAGCGCTATCACACTTTGAATGACAATTGCGCGGTCATGCAACACTGTACCCATATGAATTTTTTACCATTTTTTTGAGATAGATAAAGCTTTATTTTGGTGGTATTTATTCACCACTGGGATTTGTATTTTTTTTTGCTATGTAAATGAAATGTCCAAAAATTTTGAAAAAAAGTGTTTTTTTTATAAAAATTTTGCAAATAAATATTATTTCATCATAAATCTTAGCCAAAATTTATTCTGTTATCTTTTTAGTAAAAAAAAAAAAATCCAAATTAGTTTATAAGCAAAAATTATAATTTTTAAACATTTTTTTTTACATTTTTATTTTTTTTTTTTTTTTTTTTTACATACCGTCACCCTAGCAGTACATTGTCACCATGGTGACACTGTACTACTTGTGAGGGGTGATGAAGATTTTTTTTTTTTTTTTTTTTGTACACTGATTGCTTTTACACCCATATAGGATGTAAAAGCAATCATTTCTCTTTCTCTCTGTCTGCATTCTTGCAGCCATTGAGAACTACTGAGTGAGCTGTGATTGGTCACAGCTTGTCACATGGTACAAGGCTGTTGTGAATAGCCTTGTACCATGTGACCTCTGTGATCATTCACAGATTTCACACATAGTAAGCAATGATGTCAGAAGTGACATCTTGCTTACTACTTTGCATGTGATCACTGATTGGCCAATCAGTGATCACATGATCGGGACCTCGTACAGAGGTCCCGTCCGACGAGGAGGACACAGCGGCACCGGATCGCGGTGCTGCGCGCTCCCAGGGAGTGCGCACAAGCAGGGTGCAGGGAGACCGTTTATAGACGGCCACCCAACCCTGCAGTGCCACTGTCCGGCCGTTTATATACAACGGCCGGTCGGGGAAGTGCTTAAAGTGTGAATAGGCCCTACCATTACAAGACATTTTGTAGGAGAATGTCAAGGTAGAGATATCCTAAAAATTAAAAAATGTGGAATGATATTGACCCAAAACACAGGATAATATCAAAGAAAGACGCCTTAAAGAAATGATTCCAAGTGCAGATCCCAACCTAACTTAGATGCTGTAGTATAAATTGATGGATCTGTTTAAATAAATAACTGCTGAAATATCATCAAACTCTGCACAAGTCTAATCAACAACAATAAAAAAATCTTTAGCGGCAGTTATTGCTACAAAAGGAGATTCTAGCAAATACAAACATTAAAGCGGTAGTAAACAGCTTTAAAAAAACAACAAATTGACCCCTGCAGAATAAAGTCATAATGTGTTAGTATGAATCGCGTACTAGAACAATATCACAGACTTACCTTAAAACAAAGCCCTCCGGCCTCCGGCTTCCATCTTCACCTGGTCTTCCTTATGGGTCTACGGGCTCTGGGCATTCGAATGGCATTCCGTCCATTGAGAGCATAGTGCGCATGCGCTGATGACATCACTGACTACTACACATTGGAATATCTCCTACATGGTGCACGTTTAGCAGATGTTCACTGTACCTACAGGTATGCCATACTATAGGTACGAATGAGAAAGAAGAGTTTACTACCGCTTTCACATACCTTTCAAGCCTGGACAGTAAATGTAAAAAAAAATGTGCTTTATAAATAGTTAAGGAAAGTACATTCTAGGTAATTCTAAAGGGTTTACAAACATATTCATGCAACTGTACAAAAAACTGTACTAGTATCAATCTGCATTACAAAAGTGGAAACTACGTTTATGGGAAGTTTTAGCAATGGATTCTGTGCTGCAAGGCTAAGGCTACAGACTTTCAGAGTTTTAGTGCTGGAGTCACAGTGTCAGGAATGGACTCAGCACTGGTGGTGGGACTCACCTGCCGTGTGGGCTGCAGTACCAGGGCTGACCAGCGGGGTGCTCTCAGCAGCCAGAAGCTCACTCCTGCAGTCAGCCAACACCTGAAGCTGATTGCAGGAAGTGTATTTAAGGAATGACCAGGCCTGTGATCAAGGCCTTGGTGTATGTTTCCCATGTGCCCTGTTCCCTGTATCCTGTCTCTTACCTGCTCCGTTCCTGCTCTGTTCCTGATATTGTTCCTGTGTACATTCCGTTGCCGACCTCTGCTTGTTCCTGATCCTGCTATTCTCCTGATTAACCCCTGGCTTGCCTGACTACTCTTTTGCTTGATCCCTGGTACCGTGCTGCCCACAACCTGCTGAACCTGGCTTGTGACCCCGACCATTCTCTGCTCCCTACTCTTGTACCTTGCTGCCCGCATGATACCGACCCGGCCTGCCTGACTACGCTTACTTCAGCCGACCATCCATCCATCCCACACGGATCACTTCAGTAAGTCTGCCTGCCTCTTCCCATCAGACTCCGTTCCCGCACTCCCCTGCCAGTACTCTCTACCACAGCTGGACGCACTCAGGGGTCGCGACCTGGTTCCAGTCTGCACCAAGTCCATCCCCACCATCAGGGGCCCTGGTGAACAGTAGGCTGGGACTTAGACCCCGCACCCTGAGGAAATCCGTGCTGTGGGCTCGGCCTGCCTGACCGCTCCACCTCTCCAGCCCTGACTGCACTGGTACCTATTAGTTTAAGGTTTATTGCACCTGGTTGTACATATTTATGTAAGTGTTGAGTTTGGTTGTTTGCACTGCGTTTATGTTTGTGTTGCCTTTAATAAATTACCGTATTTTTCCCGTATAAGACGCACTTTTTCTTCCCCAAAACTGGGGGGGAAAAGTTGGTGCGTCTTATACGATGAATAGAGAGAGAATCCGTGAGGCGCGGCCACGGCCGTAGGAAAGGCCGCGGCTTTGGCCTATCTCTGGAGCGGTCGGCCATCTTAGTACACCCGGCGGTGCGCGCTGACGTCATCACCCCCTCTGCTCGTGGATCAGCCCTGAAGACCAAAACGGCGCGGGAACACGGCGAGAGGAACGCGCGGAGCAAAGGTAAGTGAATTGACACAATATGGGGAATGAATTACTATGGGGGGGGATGAATTACTATATGGGGGGGATGAATTACTATATGGGGGGATGAATTACTATATGGGGGGATGAATTACTATATGGGGGATGAATTACTATAGGGGGGATGAATTACTATATGGGGGATGAATTACTATATGGGGGATGAATTACTATATGGGGGATGAATTACTATGGGGGATGAATTACTATATGGGGGATGGGGGATGAATTACTATATGGGGGATGAATTACTATGGGGGATGAATTACTATATGGGGGATTAATTACTATATGGGGGATGAATTACTATATGGGTGATGAATTACTATGGGGGATGAATTACTATATGGGGGATGAATTACTATGGGGGGATGAATTACTATATGGGGGATTAATTACTATGGGGGATGAATTACTATATGGGGGATGAATTACTATATGGGGGATGAATTACTATGGGGGATTAATTACTATGGGGGATTAATTACTATATGGGGGATTAATTACTATGGGGGATGAATTACTATATGGGGGATGAATTACTATGGGGGATGAATTACTATGGGGGATGAATTACTATATGGGGGATGAATTACTATGGGGGATGAATTACTATGGGGGATGAATTACTATATGGGGGATGAATTACTATATGTATTGGGTTCAGAATCTTTTTTTTCTAGATTTTCCTCCTTTAAAATTGGGTGCGTCTTATATTCCGGAGCGTCTTATATGGCGAAAAATACGGTATATTGTGTTACCTGAAGTCTGTGTTTCCCTGTGCCGGTCCACACACCTCTGGTCATACCTGGAGCCCTGACGCACAGGTTCCATTCCAAACCATGAGGAAATAGCCAGTTAGGGACTTAGAGAATAGTAATCCATAATGTGGTAAAATTTGACATATCTCACATGGTTCCTATGTCCTAAATTCACAGGACAATGCCTACGCGTGGCAATTAACTGAAAAAAGTAGAAGGAGGAGGCTTTAGAATGATAGATGTTAAATCTTAACGGTATTTCGAAAACATATCTTCAAGTTTCACTAATGGTTTATGTTCTGTCTGCGGATTTCCAAACAGGTAAATGAATTATATTCCTGGGAAATTAAATACTCCATCTATGCATAGGTGATACTTTTTGAAGAATATGCAATTGTTGGCAGAGCTCAGGGTTTGTAACCACTACACAAGATAAGTTTACAGGTTACAAGGTAAGTGACAGGCTCTGTTTTAAGAAAACTCCACCTACCCACTAATTCTCACCTTCTATGAACTTCCCAATGCTGCTTTGCTCTGTTGGGGCCTTTGGTAAATACCCAGTAATTCCAGGTATGAAGGAGCATGTGACCTGCACCCAGGATGTAGTGCTCAGGCTTAGCAGCCAGTCCCCAGGCCCAAACATTGTCAACTGATGAGAAGGAAGAAGTTAACTTTGTATAGTTCTAACATTATCTGACATAGAGTTTAAACAGGGGTGGGATATTCTGCAGGTTCAGAGAAGGATTAATGGTGGAGAAGGAATTGGGTGTTCTGGTAAATCATAAGCTTAATAATAGTGTGCAAAGCCAAACTGGGGTTTCCAAAGGGAGCAAAATCCTTTATTGTATTAAAATAGGTATAGAATGCAGATATATCATTTTGCCCCTGTACAAAACATTAGTAACACCTCATCTGGAATATGCACTTCAGTTTTGAGCACCATTTCACAAAAAGAACATTGGGGAACTGGAGAAAATGCAGAGAAGGGCAACCAAACTGATAAGAGGCATGGAGGAGCTAAGCTATGAGGAAAGATTAGAGGAACTGTATTTATTCTCTCTTGAGAAAAGGAGATTAAGGGGATTCTTCTTTGTATGGACTCCTTGTATGATCATCCTGTGCAGGTATGCTGGGGCAGTGTCAGGGCCGCAGCGGGGGAATGGGCAGACAGGCCTTATGGTAAGGTCACGCACCGACTGACGACAGCCGCCACCCACAGACCGGAGTCCCTCAGGGCGCGGAGTCTAAGCCCCAGGCTGCCTTTCACCAGGGCCCCTGATGGTGGGGATGGACTTGACGCAGGCTGAGGCCAGGTTGCGACCCCCGAGTAACCCCAGTTGCGGTAACGGCTGCCGCCAATGGACAGGCCGGGTCGATAACAGCGGAACAGACAGTACAAGACGGTAGGCAAGAATACTCAGGTCACGGACCGGGGAATTCAGCAACGGGAGGTCAGGTAATGGGATAAGGCAGAGAAATGTCTTGTCAAAGCCGAGTCGGTTTCCAGTAGAGCAACGAGAGCTGAACAAGAGCTTGCTGCAAGGGAACATACAGGACACGAATGCAAAGAGCAGCTGCAGACAGCAGGCTTAAATGTGATCAGCCACACCCTCCTGGAGGAGGCCTAAAAAGCATAAAGGCTCCCACCTTGCTTTGCACAAACCTAAGATGGATGCCAGCACATGGAGCAGCAAGCTCTGAGGAAAGGTAGGACCATGACAGGCAGCCACACGCCTGAATTAGGGATTAGTTAGGGAAAATACTGTGCACTCTGTTTTGGAACTGTTATGCTGAGAGTTTTCAGTTAAGTTTTTGAAACTTTGTCCTAGCCTGGTCTGAAGTTACTTAAAGGGGCGCATGGTGGCAATGACATATGGAAGAACAGGACTCTAATGTACACATGGGGGTAATTGGTGATATGCCAATGCTAAGGGCAACAAGTACAGGAGAAGGATGATATGACAGCCAGACAGCGGAAGAGCGGTATCAGCAAGGGTGACGGGCCTCATGTATAGTGAGAAGAGCGTTCCATGGCCTACCTCCTGAGTGGTCGGTGCCCCAGCAACTGGGACTGGACCTACGTGGTGGAGACCATAGGGACCTAGACACATGGTATGTGAAAGAAAAGAGTTAATATTGTGCATGCAGGGGGTCCCTGCTCTGTCACTGGGAGAGAGGTGGCAGAGTCAAGCTGGATGGTGGAATGTGACACTGCTTTGTGATGTCTCCTTCAAAATGTTGCATCCTGAGCAGGTGTATGTATCGTGGGACCTGGAGGCACCTGTATGACAGCTTGTGGTTGGGGTACCACCATAATGTTGATGTCACCTGAACACGGGCCGCTCTGGTCCGGAGTATAAGCGAACGCATACATAGAGTGTCTAGGGGACGGAGAGGATGAGAGAGGGAAGGGTAAGAGGAAGAAAAATGCCCCAAATGCACTGGGTGTGTTGGCACAGTCCACAACTCCATTTTAACATCTGATTGACAACATTTTGTTATTTGGGTGTAACAACTGCATTATGAATTCACCTAATATTCTGACTCACGTTGTTGTAATAGTGAATTATCCCTTCCTGAGACCTCTATGCCTGGCCTGTATGTAGCAGAGACAATCACTGCAGTCTTCATCAGGTAGCTGAACTCACCAAACACTTGGCATCCACAAATATCTTTGTTGCATGGAGAAGGTTGGGGCAAACAATACAATGCACTAGACAGAATATTGATGTGTTTAAAAGGAGAAGTACAGTCAAAGCTCTTTTGGCTGTACTTCTCCTGTGGATCACAGGATTGAAGTTCGTTCTGCACTCCTGTGACCATTTTCAGCTGACAGCGGGCTGAAGCTGGCTGTTGGCTGATGTCATTCAGCCGGTCCCGGCTGGGGCACTGAGGAAAGATCCCAACTCTAAAGTTGGGAAGGAACCCAGAGTCTGGACTGGCACCTGGCGCAGCCTCTCAGCGAGGTTGTCAGGGATCACCGCAGCGCTGGTCCCGGCGCAGGCGCAGTGCGCCACCTTGTGCAGGGACGCGGGCACTAGGTCCAGGCCGCCCGCGGCGTCCGAACTTGCGCATGCGCACTAGGGGCCGCTGGCGCGCGCCCTGGCACCAATGACAGCGCAGGGCACGACATTTAAACGGCCCTGAACTGTCATTGAGTGCCTTCTGGTCTTACCTGCATTCCTGAACCGGTGAACCTGTACCCTGATTGTTGCTGACCCTGGATTGTACCTGACCACGCTGTATTCTCCTGCTCTGAACCTTGGCTTGCCTGACCTCTCTCCCGGATGCCCCCTATTGGATCTGATCTTCTGTTACTGACCTGGCGTGTGACCTGACTATTCTCTGCCCGCTGCATTGTACCACACCGTCCCCACGGCTACCGACCCGGCTTGTCTGACCTCGCACCTGCTCAGCCATCCATCCATCCCATCGGGATCAACCGACCTCCTCATATCAGGCTCTCCCCTGTGGGAGCCCCTGGCGAACACCCCTACCACTGACAGGTATACTCAGTAGTCACGACCTGGTCTCTGGGTACTCCAAGTCCATCCCCACCATCAGGGGCCCTGGTGAACAAGTACTCTGGGGCTTAGATTCCGTGCTCTGGGGGCACCTGATCAGTGGAGTGCTAGTGGTGCCGCCAGGCGGTCTCTTACGGAGGTTCTGAGAGCCTGAGCCAGTCGCTCTCTCCCCCCTCCACAGCCCAGTGCTCCAGTGAGGGGGAGAGGCAGACTGACAGTCACCGCTCTCTGCTCAGAGTGGCTGTGAGATCTCAGCGATCAGCAGTCATGTGATCGCTGAGTTCTCACCCTTAGAGCCGTTGGGGGACAGATGCAGCATCGGAGCAATGCTGCATCCACCTAAAAATAAAAATGAGGAAAAACAAAAAAAAGTCCATACTTCTCTTAAGGTGGTCAAAATGAATGTTTGCTTTTCCGAGCCTCAATGGGGTGGATTTGCTGATGTCAAATAGACTGTGTACTTTTCCCCAGAGCGGGCAAGGGCCTTGTCCCTACAACCCTAAGCCAGTGGTTGTGGGGTTCTGTGGGTGGGGGCTTATTGGAACTTTAAGAATAAGGGGGCTCTAAAGACACCAGCCTCCATGTGAGCATGTAACACACTTATTCTTTCACAAAAAAGTAAATAGTCATTAACCACTTGCCTACCGGGCACTTATACCCCCTTCCTTACCGGGCCAATTTTCAGCTTTCAGCGCTGCCGCACTTTGATTGACAATTGTGCGGTCATGCAACATTGTACCCATATGAAATTTTGATCATTTTTTTCTCACAAATAGAGCTTTCTTTTGGTGGTATTTAATTGCCACTGGGCGCTTTACTTTTTGCGCTATAAATAAAAAAAGTGCCAAAAATTTGAAAAAAAAAATTTTTTTCTTTGTTTCTATTATAAAATTTTTCAAACAGGTATTTTTTCTCCTTCACTGATGTGCGTTGATGAGGCAGCACTGATGGGCACTGATAGGCGGCACTGATGGGCACTGATAGGCAGCACTAAAGGGCACTGATAGGCAGTACTAATGAGGTGGCACGGATAGGCGGCACTGATAGACAGCACTAATGAGGTGTCACGGATAGGCGGCACTAATATGCAGCACTGATAGGCGGCACTGATAGGTGACACTGATGATGGGTACTGATAGACGGCACTGACTGGCATCACTGCTGGGCACTGACTGGCTGCACTGACTGGCACAACCCCTGGGCACTGACTGGTGGCACTGACTGGCAGCACTGCTGGGCTGCACTGGTGGGTGGCACTGGTGGGCAGCACTGGTGGGTGGGCACAGGTGGATGGGCACAGGTGGGTGGCACTGGTGGGCACAGGTGGGTGTGGGCAACAGGTGGGTGGCACTTCTGGGCACAGGTGTGGTGACACTGCAGAGTGGCACAGGTGGGTGCACTGCTGGGCACAGGTGGGTGCACTGCTGGGCACAGGTGGGCGGAGCTAGTGGGCGCACTGCTGGGCACAGGTGGGCGGAACTTGCGGGTGGCACTGCTGGGCACCGATCATCAGGGCACTGATCATCAGTGTCCTGATGATCGGTGCCGATCCCCGCTGTGACAACTGCCGGTTTTTCGGCAGTACTTTCCTCACGATCTGATAGCGTGAGGAAAGTGCAGTCGAGAACCGGCACTTGCATTTCCCTGTGATCAGCGTGTCATTGGACACCGCTGATCACATGGTAAAAGGCCGCTGGGATCGGCCTTTTACCACATCACGTGATCAGCTGTGTCGGTAGGACACAGCGATCACAGAGATCGCCGGGTGCGCGCCCCCTGGGGCGCGCAGGAGAGCGCGTTCTGGGGGGACGTCATATGACGTCCACCCAGAACTGGCCGGCCGCAGTGAAGCCGTCATTCGGCTATCTGCGGTCGGCAACTAGGTTAAAGACACACACTTTTTGACAAGTTCTTTATTACAGTGGAACTGAGGAAAAAAAATCATAAATTGCAACCAGGCAGGCTCTTTATTAGTCTTTAAGAGACTTGTAATGTCTCTTCTGTAAAAAAAATATATATTTTAATCATACACTTACTTTCCTGTTCGCAATCCCTTGTAGAGTGTACATCAAGTGTCAGCCAAAGACTGGCACCCAGAAGAAGCCAGGGAGAAGATGCTGGCGCCAGCAAGGGACCTTGCAGGCATTAGACTGTTGGAACAGAAGTAAGTTTGCTTTAGAAAATAATAAAATGCGAACAATGTCCCACAAAGTAAATTCATTATCAATGTCATCCAACAATGCAGATCCTCATCAATCATGAAGCACGAAACCCTTCAAAAAATAAAACACACACCGACACATTCAATTCTGCCGCTCACTCGCTGGAAAACAACTGCTCCCAGCAAGTGGCAGGCAAAGGGATGGGGTCTCCTAGATGATATCTGTCAGGCTCCACCCAACAGGATCTCTAGTGGTCCACAGAACGGGATTCCCCAGGACGCGGAGTCTAAGTCCCAGTCTGCCTTTTCACCAGAGCCCCTGATGGTGGGGATGGACTTGGTGCAAGTCTGAAACCAGGTCGCGACCCCTGGATGCACCCAACTATGGTATGTTCCCGGGATGAGCCTGCTGTGAAGGGGCTGACAGGTCCAGGTCCAAGTGGGATGGATGGATGACTGCCAGGAGTGAGCGTGGTCAGACTAGCCGGGTCGGTAACAGTGGGGGCAGATGCGGTACCAAGCAGCAGACAAAGAGTAGTCAGGTCACACGCCGGGTTCGTTAACAGAGGGTCCAAATAATAGTAACGACAGGCAGAGGAATGGTCAGGGACGAGCCGGGGGTCAGAGCAGGATCAGAGTCAGGTCAGCATGGATCAGAACAGGCAGGGTTGGCAACAAGGAACGCACTACAGGAACAGGAACAAGACCTTGCGGTAATGAGGACATTGCCTGGCCAGTTTAAATAGCACGCCCTGCGTGTGCGAGTGCGCATGCGCTGCCACAATTGCTGCCGCGGATGCCCAGGTCCTAATGCCCGCATATTGATGTGCCTGGGCGATCCGCGCATGTGCAGATTTGCGCGCCGCAGCGAAGCCCGAGATCCCTGACAATATCATTGTTCAAATATGAACATGTCCATACTTGATCAGTGACATCATGGGGGAATCCTTGTGATGTCACACATGATGTCAATATTTAGTTAATGATGTCACTCGGAAGACATCAGCCCTGGGAGAGTGGTCTCTGCAGAGGTCCGATTCACCCCCTGCTGAGTTAGAACTCTCCTAGAGAAAAGCTCATGCTCCCTGCTGAGTCAAGAAATATAGTTTTGACCAAACAGGGGATCAGTCAGACCTCTGCTGCAAAAATAATGATTCCACACAGAGTAAAAAGATCCTTACCTGTAGCATGCTGGCATGAGACAGGCTTCTCTATTGAAGTTGTGGCTGCTTCCTAAAGAAAACACACTGCAACTTTGTAAACATCTTTTGTTTTGATGCATCTGCAATATATTTAGTTAATTTAACCATTAGCTGCCCAGCCTATAGCCGTTTGGTGGCCGCAAAAATGATGTAGCTTTCCGGGTGCATGCCATTTGGCGTCCTCCCCCACATGCGCAGTTCGCGCGGTTGCAGAGCCACGAAGCGGCGCGATCTGTCAGCGGCCGTGTACCTTGGACACGGCCGATGACAAATCTGAGTACCAGCCCCCGTTGCTGGTACCATGTGACCTGCTGTGACCAATCACAGCAGGTCACATGACAGTTGTGTACAATGGATGGCTTCATTCATGCCATCCATTGTATACTAGTGTCTAGCTGTGAATGGTCACAGCAGGTCACATGCACATGTCATGTGATTAGCTGTGGCCAAATCACAGCTAAGCACAAAAAAAAAAAAACCTGAATGAATCGATGTCATTCAGGTAAATGCTTGCTTATAGCAAAGTAATTCTTTGCTATAAGCAAATTGTGTGAAAAAAAAAAAAAAATACTGATCACTTCCCCAAAGTAGTACAATGTTACTATGGTAACATTGTACTACTTTGGTCATAGTAAAATATGAAAAAAAAATCTTAAAAAAATAAAAATAAATGTAATATAAAATAAAAAATAATAAAAAAATAAAAAAAAATAATAAAAAAATATATATATATATAATTTTTATTCATACTGTCACCAGTCAGTGTCCCTGTTCACCGCCATGCCAGTTATATGATGACGCTGTACTGCACTGGTGACAGTATGTAAAAAAAAATAGTGAAAATTATTTTTTTAATTTTTTCATTTTCCGAAAAATTATGACAAACAAAAAAAATACAACTTCAAAAAACTCGCCATTCCTCTTATGAAGTACGTCGGACTGTATACTCTGCAAAAATTTGGGGGATATCTGTACTGTTCTGACATTCTTGGACCTCAAGAAATTAGATTGGCTGTCAGTACTTCAGGATTGATCAATATTCAGATCTATACCATAGTTTGTGAACTCTATAACTTTCCTACAAACTAAATAATACATCCTAATTTGGGTTATTTTCACCAAAGACATGTAGCAGAATACATCTCGGCCTAAATTTATGAAGAACAATTATTTATTTGTAAACTTTTATAACAGAAACAAAGAAAAACGTGTTTTTTTGTTCAAAATTTTTGGTCTTTTTTTGTTAATTTAGCAAAAAATAAAAAAAACCCAGCAGTGATTAAATACCACCAAAAGAAAGCTCTAGTTGTGTGAAGAAAATGATAAAATTTTAGTTTGGGTACAATGTTGTATGACCGCGCAATTGTCATTCAAAGCGTGAGAGCGCTGAAACGTGAAAAATGGCCTGGGCAGGAAGGGGGTAAAATTGCCCGGTATTGAAATGGTTAAGAGACTTGTAATGTCTCTTCTGTAAAAAAAAAATATATATATTTTAATCATACACTTAGCTTCCTGTTCGCAATCCCTTGTAGAGTGTACATCAAGTGTCAGCCAAAGACTGGCACCCAGAAGAAGCCAGGGAGAAGATGCTGGCGCCAGCAAGGGACCTTGCAGGCATTAGACTGTTGGGACAGAAGTACGTTTTTTTTAGAAAATAATAAAATGCGAACAATGTCCCACAAAGTAAATTCATTATCAACGTCATCCAACAATGCAGATCCTCATCAATCATGAAGCACGAAACGCTTCAAAAAAATAAAACACACCGACACATTCAATTCTGCCGCTCACTCGCTAGAAACAACTGCTCCCAGCAAGTGGCAGGCAAAGGGATGGGGTCTCCTAGATGATATCATTGTTCAAATATGGACATGTCCATACTTGATCAGTGACATCATGGGGGAATCCTTGTGATGTCACACATGATGTCAATATTTAGTTAATGATGTCACTCGGAAGACGTCAGCCCTGGGAGAGTGGTCTCTCTGCAGAGGTCCGATTCACCCCCTGCTGAGTTAGAACTCTCCTATAGAAAAGCTCATGCTCCCTGCTGAGTCAAGAAATATAGTTTTGACCAAACAGGGGATCAGTCAGACCTCTGCTGCAAAAATAATGATTCCACACAGGGTAAAAAGATCCTTACCTGTAGCATGCTGGCATGAGACAGGCTTCTCTATTCAAGTTGTGGCTGCTTCCTAAAGAAAACACACTGCAACTTTGTAAACATCTTTTGTTTTGATGCATCTGCAATATATTTAGTTGATTTAAACAAAAAACTAAATTCAGTTATTTACTGCATTTTATTTACTGTAGGGACAAGGGTCCAAAGACACTTCACATCTGACACACTTCTGGGTATCTCATATGTGAAAATGTTAAAACGTTCTACAGGTATAAAGTCTCTTCTATTACAGGAGTTTTTTCACTTAGTGACAAATGTACCCAATATAATGAGATACAGCAGGGTAAAGGAAAAAAGGAATTATTTTGTGTGATTACATTGACATAACTAGTGTACAAATGCTTTCTTGGCCCCCAATTTATGGTTACACCTTCAATATCATATTACTCTTTGGCGCTGCACCAGTAATTGTCGGCAGTGATGTAGATTAAGCTGAACAGTTCACAAATGCTCAGACTTGCTAAGGGAAATAAGCGGAAATAATATGACATTTTTTAAAATCCCAAGCAACAGCTTTAGCATAGGCAGTTATGAAATTTGTAGAGCGCACAGCAGAGAAAACCTTGGTGATCTGTGTATACTACAGTATGATAACATCCATGGTTTTTGCTGCTGTGTCTTCCTTTTCACTGTCAGCCGCAAAGGGCTTTGACGCTCTGTAGCCCTTCATTTCCCTGTGCTTTTTCAATCATAGACAAACAGATACTGTATATCAGGGGTCCTCAAACTTTTTAAACAGGGGGCCAGTTCACTGTCCCTCAGACCGTTGGAGGGCCGAACTATAGTTTTAAAAAAAAAAACGATGGCCATCTCCTGTACTGTGTCCGCATTTGTTCAGAGACTGCGAACATACAACGGCGGTGGGAATACTGGGCCGGCCGCTCTATAGGACGCACAGACATTTCCCCCCAAGTGTGTCTTATGGAGCGAAATAGTGTCCCATCATTGGTGTCAGTGGGAGGAATAGTGCCCCATCATTGGTGTCAGTGGGAGGAATAGTGCTCCATCATTGGTGTCAGTGGGAGGAATAGTGTCCCATCATTGGTGTCAGTGGGAAGAATCGTGTCCCATCATTGGTGTCAGCGGGAGGAATAGTGCCCCATCATTGGTGTCAGTGGAGGAATAGTGCCCATCATCATTGGTGTGTAGTGCCCATCATTGGTGTGAGGAAATAGTGCCCCATCATTGGTGTCATGGGGAATAGTGCCCATCATTGGTGCAGTGGGAGGAATAGTGTCCCATCATTGGTGTCAGTGGGGGAGGAATAGCGCCCCATCATTGGTGTCAGTAGGAGGAATAGTGCCCCATCATTGGTGTCAGTAGGAGGAATAGTGCCCATCATTGGTGTCAGTGGGAAGAATCATGCCCCATCATTGGTGTCAGTGGGAAGAATCCCCATCATTGGGGGAGGAATAGTGTCCCATCATTGGTGTCAGTGGGAGGAATATAGTACGTCATTGGTGCCAGTGGGGGGGGGTGGAATAGTGCCCCATCGTTGCTGTCAGTGGGGGGAGGAATAGTGCCCCATCGTTGGTGTCAGTGGGGGGGGGAGGAATAGTGCCCCATCGTTGGTGTCAGTGGGGGGAGGAATAGTGCCCCATCATTGGTGTCAGTGAGAGGAATAATTCCCTATCATTATTATCAGTGACACCAATGATGGGGCACTATTCCTCCCACTGACAGCAATGACACTTAACTAGCCGACCCCTGTTCCAGCACGGTGCTCCTGCAAGCAGCATACCTGGTTGCAGCAGTACCATCTGCACGGCACACATACCGGGCGGTCAGCTGTCCTCCTTCCTTCACTTTGGCCTCTCCCTCCCTTGATTTTCGCGGGGCTGCTCGGCTCCGCCTCCTCACCGGTGATTGGCCGCCTGTGTGCCTTTCCTGAGCTACAGTACTGGCACCCAATCACCGGTGAGGAGATGGAGCCGAGCGGCAGCGCGGACATCGAGTGAGGGAGCGGCCGGAGTGAAGGAGCTGAGCCAGATAAGGTACAGCAGCCCCCTGCCCGCCCCTGTACTTAGTGTCCCCTGCCGGCAGGCCGGAATGAATGTGCTCGGCGGGCCGCATGTGGCCCGCGGGCCGTAGTTTGAGGACCCCTGCTGTATATAATGAACTTAGGGATATCTGTCTGTGATATAGCTCTGGGACCTGATAAGATGCTTGCTTGCTGACAGAGTTGCATATGGGGTATTTCTGATCTTTCACTGTTCCATATGTGAATGATCATGTCCCATTAAGAGGGTACTAGGAAAAATGCCCTTGTGTAACATA